CGTTGAGGTATACTGCCCACCCTCGTCAAACCGCAACCTCGCTCCGATAGCAACCAGCCATGATAACATATTCTTCATAGATGAAGTTTTAATACAATACTTATAATTACTTACCACTAGCGGTGCAATAGGCAGCTTCAGTTCCTTCTAGAGCCGCCAACTGACGACTAAGATTTAAGATTGTGGGGTTAAAATGACGACTATAAATGAAGAAATCACGATCAAGGCCAAGTTCATCGGTGAACATGCGGCGCATAGTGTCAAGTTCCATGACGGTGAAGGTGGCAGAAGAATCAATGGACATGATAACGCCACCAAGCTCACCAAATTCCCGACGCAAGCTAGCTAATGCGGCGGCAGGGTCGTTATCCCTCGCTGGTGATGCCGTCGCCGCCAGTGTTTGAAACATAGATTTCTTGGCCAAGAAAACATCATCCCCTGCTGCTCTCTTCTTCCAGGAGAAAAAGTCATCGATTTGGGTTCCTGCCATAATTAGGAGTGCTAAGAAAGATTAATTGAGGACTCAAATAACAATAAAACTTATTTTCCAATCCTAGAGATTACATTAATCAACCAGTTTATCACGACCATGGAATCGACCACCAATAATAAAACGTATTTTCCAACCTAACCTGCTTCTTAATAACTTCCAAAGCAGTCTTGACTGCCATTAAAACAACAAAATCAGCTCATAGATTTGATATCAGACTGAGGATATAACCCGAATAAATCATTTCTCAGTACAAAGGACACCATCACACTCGACTACCCCGTTTGTTTCAACACCGCTAACATTGAACTTTATCAAATCAACTGAATGAGCTTCCATATTCACGAAAGGACAAGTCTTCGAGATAACGTACTCCCAATGTTTATCCCACCAATCGATCATGTTTACTAGCGTGCCATCCTTAGTGGCCTTCATCCGAATAATGGCTCTCAATTTGGTATAAAATAGTAAAAAATTCAAGCTGACAAACTTATCATCGAAAACGAATCATTACGCATTAGCCATAAACTCTATAATACTATCGCTATCGCGCTTACCATCCAAAAGTTCCACTTCAACCTGTGAAAGGGAAAGAAAAATAAACACGTACAATTTTGAAACATTGTCAGCATCCTCACAGTCCACCTCTTACCAACTACAAAACAACCTCCAAAAATCTAAGAAGAATATGTTATCATGGTTGGGTTGCTATCGGAGCGAGGCTGCGGTTTGACCAGGGTGGGCGGTGTACTTCAACGGCGACCGGACGAGCGGACCGACGATTGGCAGCCGAAAGCTCTCCTTGCGATTAAGACGCGACGATGGTCAAATCAGGCGATTGGAGTGCCGGGGTTGGGTCGCCAGTCATTGCTGAGGTTGTTAGCAGCGACGGGGCACTTCCACGGCGGTCGGAGATGCCTGATCGGATGACGAATAACTTTTGGGTCGGGGGAGGGGTCCTGGTTAGCCTAGGTAATTGGTTCCTCCCATTAAAATGTTTATTTTTTCATTTAAATTTATTTTTTATTTGCAAAAATTATTTTTTAATATTAAAAAATATGTCACATGACATTGTTAATGGGTTAATGGCTAAACTCAACGGTCCGTCACGGCGTGACCCATTTTGAGTTATTGAATGAAACGTTAGGCACCAAACTGGAACGAAAAAAATGTTAAGCACTGAACTGGAAAAACAGGTATAGGTTGGACACCTTTTGTATATTTAAGCCTAAAAAAATTGGTACGATGAATTTTTTTTTGTTGTTATCTCGGTTTTCAAGGCTTTAGCTTGACTAATTTGGATCGATTCGGGTAGCACATCTAGTTATGGTGGGTGAGTCTCACAGCTGGGATTTTGTGCATACACAACGACTCGAATAATATCTCTTATATAAGAATTTAAGAAATTATAAAAAAAAATAGATGTTATATAAAATAAATAAATTATATTGTCGTTAACCTAACGTTGAATGTTAACTGCATGTTACAGGTACAAAGATGTGCGGGAGATCGAACAATTCTAATAACAACATACGCGGGCAATCACAACCACCCTTTGCCTCCGGTAGCAATGGCAATGGCGTCGACGACATCCTCAACTGCACGAATGATGTTGTCTGGTTCAATGTCCACTGCCGATGAACTAATGAACTCGAATTTCCTCACCAGAACTCTTCTCCCATGCTCTTCTAGCATGGCAACTATATCAGCTTCTGCCTCATTCCCCACCGTCACCTTTGACTTCAGTCCTCGAACCCTTTACAGTTCCCCAGAATCGAAGGCCAATTCCAGGTTCCCTTCCCGAACCCACTGTCGCATCCCAATTCCCAGGCCCCGCCGTTGTCATTGCTGCCCCAGAATTTCGGACAGGCGTTATAAAACCAATCCAAATTCTCTTGTTTGCAAATGCTAACTGCAACAAGGCTGACAAAATTCACTTGCCGACACCGTAAACACAACCACCTCGGCTATGGCAACAGACCCTAACTTCACAGTTGCTTTGGCCGCCGTGATCACTTCTATTATCGGGAGCTCTCATAGCAGCAACGTTGCTAATAATAACAGAACAAATTTAGTCTAATAAATGCTTGGAGGTTTCCGGATTTCATCGCCAAAAATATAAAATATTTTAATCTATTGTCCGACATAATTTATTAAAAATATTTATAGTGGTTAGAAATTGTTTGATATTTAAAAAATTTATCAAATAAATAGAATTATCATATGTTATTTTGTGTTATGTACAATTGAATATCATATATATATACTTGAACTAAATTTTATATATAATTTATTTTTTTAATAGTTTAAGATGATTATAAGATAATATTTATTTATAAATTTTCTTAATTATTGACAAACGCACACAACCAACTGATACAATTGTTCATCTGTTATTTTGTGTTATATTATTTATAGTTATCAATGTTAACATTTTTTACGAAGATACTTTTCTATAAATATAATCAAGTTAAGTTTGATATATAATTTCAGTATTCTTATGTATGTGTGTGTATATATGAACTTGTATATCCTACATATGTGGAGCGCAACTTATGTTGTTTTTACGCTATAAAGTAGGGGAATTAAATGAGTTGAGTAACTCGTGAGCGGTTTGAATTTCACGATACACTTCGGGTGCTGGTTCTGTTGGCTTCCACGTCTACACTCAGGCTCTTCGCTATGAGCAAACGATTGAGTTCGACGAGTTCAAAGACTCCGAAACTAAGTTCACAATTCCATCGTATGTAAACCCGGTTTCCAATAAATTATTTCCAAATATTCCGTATCTCGCTCAAAGTTTTACATTCTGCCCGTAACTTGATGAAAGGGATGAGGGAAGTGAAGGGTTTTAATGGTCAATACATTGTCAGAGCTCGAATCTCATACCGTGTTGACTACCTTTCTAATGCTAAGCTTCAAATCTCACCCATTTACCCAGTGGGTCCCATACTGAATCTCCAAGGCGCAAGCAAGATCCATCAGAATTATGATACAATCATGCATCGTCTGTAATGTTCCTCTGCTTCGGGAGTATGGGAAGCTTCGGTACAGATCAGGTGAAAGAAATCGCCTACGCACTGGAGCAGAGTGGGTACCGATTCTTGTGGTCCCTCCGGGGTTCAGACGAAGCAGTAAAAGAGATGACGTGAAGCACAATTGATTACGAGAACGTGGCCGAGGTGTTACCGGAATAGTTTTTAGAACGAATGGATTAAGGGATAATAAAATCATTGGTTGGGCACCAAAAGTTGCCATTTTGGGCCATCCCGCAACTGGAGAGTTCATATCGTACTGCGGTTGGAATTCAACGTTGGAAAGTATATGGTTTGGAGTGCCAATTGTGGAATGGTCATTTTTTGCAGAGCAGCAGCTGAATGCATTTGCATTGGCGAAGGAGTTGGGATTAACGGTGAGATTAAAATAGATTATAAGAATCACAGTAGTGAAATTAAAATTATATAGGCCGAGAAAATAGAAAAAGAAATCAATTGACTGATGAAGTCTGACAATGATGCTCTTCAGAAAATGAAGGAGATGAAAGGCTTTAATGGAAGGCAGATCTTCACATACTATACTACGTAGTTTATCAATAATACCATGGACAACGTACCATGAAATTTTAGTATATAAATATAATAATATAATTCTAAATATTTAATATTATCAAACTGTACAAAATAATGAAACAAATAAAATAAATTTCAAAAAATCCAATTTAGTAGGACAATCAAAACATAAAATAGCATGCTTAACCAAACATAATAACAACACAAATTAACATGGAATAACATATTATTTCATGGCATCTTTAATATGCAAAATATTATAATCATAATAAAGAATTAAAAATATTTTTTAATTTTAGTTTGATAGTCTATTAATAGTCTATAAATACTCAAATCTCATCTTATTGATGTGATATTATATTACTAATTATTTTCTTCCTCGTCAAGATGCACAATCTTAATAATTAACATTTTTCCTCCTCGTCAAAAGTGAAGTCTTTAAATAAATCGAACACAAATTTTATAGACAGTTATGCACAATCTTAAGTTTAGTTAAAATTTTATTACCACTTTATTATTTGTCGATGGACTCTTTTGTGCTCTATTTTTTTGCGCAAAAAATTACAATTTTAGTGAAATTATAATATTTTAAACTGAAACATATATATATATATATATATATATATATATATATATATATTTGTAACATCTATATTGAACTACTCTAGATTCAGTTTTAAATATACAAAAAATTACATTAAAGAACCAACAGCTAGTACTCGTTTGTGAACCAAGAGAATGGATAAGACTAACCAAAAACAAAGATGCGATTGTGATGTATCAACTCTTAATAGATTTATGTATGTATGTCTGCACCTTGCATGTTCTAGAGATGTGGGGCGCCGCTTATATTGTGTCTAAGGCTCAGAATACGATAAGGGATAACATTTTGCGACACAGCAAAGCAATGACATCATACTTCAAACAGTTTGCCGACACTGCCATCCATCTATCTTCACCGCTGGGTGTTGCATTGTTTGTTCCACTTATCTAAATTCTCCAAAATTCTCTTATCTAAATTTTAATTCCAGTTTAGATTCTTTAAGTTTAGGTGACGAGCTTCAGTCCTTAAACTTTCATATCAGAAATCCAAGTATGTGAACTCTAAACCCTAAATTAAAGATTAGGGCTATGCATGTTGAAATTAAATTAATATTTGATTTCTAAGTTTCAATGTTTATTTCTGTAATCAGAAGCATTCTTAGATCGAACTGCTGAAATTATTATATTATATTCATTTGATGATGTCTATTAGTCCAGGGAAAAAAAAACCTACACAGTAGGCCAATTGTGTGGCAAAGCACAGGCTCCCACCCTTACCTTCCTGGAACTAATCAACTTAAGCCGCTACTAAGGGTCCCCCTTGCCTTGAATATGGACATTTTGGCCAATTATAAGTTCCACCAACATCAACAGTTCTTTATCCCTCTTAAGTATTATATGTAAAAACCAGTTGGTTTGGTGAACCCTTTGGTAGAGGGTCGTGTCTTGAAGTTGGATGGGGAGTTGTTTAAATGATTTACCTAACACAGCAGTGGAGAATGATATATGACTTACAATAAGGCTTTTCACCAATTTCTTTCACATGCAGATCAGACAACAACTTGTGTGGCCAATTTTAAGTTTATGGGTCTCCCTCTTGACCCGGCTTATTATCAGCTCTGGCCAATGGCCCGGATCAATAAATTGGCTTTACTGCATTCTACATTATCAACCACCTAAGCAAAGCATTGACATCATACTTCACACAGTTTGCCGACACATAGCTATATTAGTAACCTCAAATGAAGAACATATGACAAACCCCAAACCAACACTGCCATCCATATATCTTCACTGTTCGGTGTTGCATTGTTTGTTCGACATATAACTCTTGCTTTCCGTTACCATAATGAAGAAAGCGGAGCTAGTGTTTGTCCCCCTGCCTGCAATGGGCCATTTCATATCTGCGGTTCAATTGGCTAAACTTTTATTAGATCTCAATTCTAACCTCTCTGTCACCCTCCTCACCGTCAAGCCACAACAAGACACTAAAATCAGCGCCTATATTGACTCTCTCACCGCCATCGCCGCCGCCACCGGCCGTATTAAATTCATCAACCTCTCTCAATCTTATCTAGAGGCAGATCTTTTCAAGTTTTGAATAATTTAGCTCAAACTATAGGCCCGCTTGTGAAAGAAGTCGTCGTCAACATAGTTGAGCATTCCAACTCAGTTCCCAACTCACCTCGACTCGCCGGGTTCGTTCTCGACTCGTTATTAACTTGTTTGGTAGAGTTGGCTAACGAGTTCGGCGTTCCTAGCTATGCATTTTACACTTCCGGTGCTGGTTCCTTTGGCTTCCGCAGATACATTCAGGCTCTTCACAATGAGCAAAAGACTGAGTTCGGCGAGTTAAAAGACTCTGACACTAAGTTCATAGTTCCATCGTATGTCAACCCGGTTTCCATTAAATTATTCCCATCTAGTCTGTTCCAGCTTGAAAGTTTTACATTATTCAGTAACCTGACGAAAGGGATAAGAAAAGTGAAGGGTGTATTAATCAATACGTTTTCGGAGCTTGAATCCCATGCCGTTGACTCTCTTTCTAGTGGTAAGCTTCAAATCCCACCCATTTACCCGGTGGGACCCATATTGAATCCCGAAGGCTCAAGCAAGGTTCATCAGAATTATGATTCAATCATGCAATGGCTTGATGAACAACCTCCTTCGTCTGTAGTGTTCCTCTGCTTCGGGAGTGCGGGAAGCTTTAGTACGGATCAAGTGAAAGAAATTGCCTACGCACTAGAGCAAAGTGGGCACCGATTCTTGTGGTCTCTACGACGATCGGGGAAACAAGCAAGTGACATGGCACGTAGCCCAACTGATTACGAGAACGTGGTGGAGATGTTACCGGAAGGATTTTTAGATCGGACAGCTGAAACTGGTAAGATCATTGGTTGGGCACCACAAGTGGCCATCTTGGGGCACCCTGCAACCGGAGGGTTCGTGTCGCACTGCGGTTGGAATTCAATATTAGAAAGTATATGGTTTGGAGTGCCAATGATGGCATGGCCACTTTATTCAGAACAACAATTGAATGCATTGACACTGGTGAAGGAGTTGGGATTAGCGGTAGAGCTCAAAATGGATTATAAGATTGATGACGGTGAGGTTGAAATTATAAAAGCTAAGAAGATAGAGGAAGGAATTAGGTTGTTGATGAGGTATGATAGTGATGTTCGAGAGAGGATGAAGAAAATGAATGATAAGAGTAGAAAAACTTTGATGGATGGTGGATCTTCACACACTATATTGTGTCGTTTTATCAATGATATCATCAACAATATGCCATGAAAGTTTCCTTTCTAGATATCATGAAAAATTCAATACATTGTTAGTGTACGAGGAATATTTGTATTTGTAATTCAAGTAATTAGTGTGTGATATCGTTGTGAAAAGAACGAGTGTAGTATCACTTAGAATGTTATTTGTGCCACACCATTTTGTTATCTTTGAAGATATTATAGCTTTAAAATAAATTTAGCGGGTACGTCCCTCTTTCCTTACCTCTTCTTTCACCATGATTCTCTTCATCCTTAATCCAAAGATTTATCGTTAATATTTCGAGTTTAATAAATAATAATTTTTTAATGTTTAATTATAATTTTGTATTTAATTACAAACTTCTTGAAGGATATTAGACACTGAACCATTTATCGTGTTGAGTTTTGTGACATTTACTCTTATCTTGGACTCGTGGTTTTAAAAATGTTTCAAGTTCAATATGAGAACCTTGTAGCTATTAAACTTGTTCAAATCTCTAACATAGAGGCAAGTGTTTTCAAGTTTTTGAATAATTTAGTTCAAACCTTATGACCGCTTGTGAAAGAAGCCGTCGTCAACATATTTGAGCACTCCAACTCAGTTCCCAACTCATCTCGACTCGTTGTTAACTTGTTTGGTAGACTTGACTAACGAGTTCGACGTTCTTAGCTATGCATTTTACACTTCGGGTGTTGGTTTTCTTGGCTTACCCGTTTACACTCAGGCTCTTCAAGATGAGCAAAAGATTGAGTTTGGCAAGTTAAAAGACTCATACACTAAATTCATAATTTCATCGTATTTCAGTCCATACATTTTAAGTTGAATTTGAGAAAATTCATATTTGGATTTGATTAAAAGGAAGAAGTAAACTAGTAAAACAATCTTTCTCATTTTCTTTTGTTTTTTAATTAAACGAGTCAAAGGTCTGTCAATCAATACCAAATAAGTTAATTTAACATGTCACATCAGCCTTTTGTTACTGGGTTAACGACAAGTGATTGATTTGTTAAAAATCGATAACGTTAGTGATCAATTTATTAATTTTGAAACTTCAGTGAGGAAAACTAAAACTTACTCAAATATTAATGACTATTGTGTAATTTATCCTTTCATAATTCATTATCTTCTTAAATTTTATAAATTCATCTATAGAATTCATCTTTCCAATGTAAAATAATATGTTTCTTCTTTTTTTCTAAATTATTATTGAGGAATAACACCGACATCTTCATTTAAATATAAAGACAAAGAACATCATTTGGCCTTCCATGTTTTAAGTCACGTGAAAAAAAAACATTTATTGTCAAAAGATTTTGCTAATAAAGTCGTGAATACATTAATATAGGGAATTTAAGGAGACACGTTTAATTTAAGGTTACAAATAACGATTTTAAAGTACAATTAAAAATATGATATCAATTCAAAAAAATATATGATAAAAAACATAATATTTTAGGTGAAGCGCAATCTAAAATGTTATCATTTTTCTAACGTTTTAGATTGAACAAAAAATGTTACTATCTTCATAATATTTTTCGATTGTCAACCGAAAATGCTACATTATTTGTAACATTTTAAGTTTAACCGAAAATGTTATTAAACAAGTAACATTTTAGGTAATATTTTTAATTGCGATCAACCTAAAATATTATACTTTTTATGATATTTTAAGTTGTGTCTCAAAGTCATCGTTTTTTAATCTTAAATTAAACGTCACACAACAAATCTACTCAGGTCAATATCCACATCATTATTCCATGAATCTAGAAGGAACGTTCACCCAATCTAAGGACGAAGAGGACATGACCAAAATTTTTGAGAAAATTATTAAATACTTTTTTTGATTAATTTGAAATAAATATAAGGTATTATCTATTCAAAGATAAACTCAAAGGTAACTACTATCAGTTATTTAACATTAAATATTCATAACATTAGGCATTGACATTCATAATGTTCGTACTTGAGACCTTAAGGAATAATAATAATTTATTTACCACTGCTATCGTTTGGTTCCCGCATTAATAATTTTTTTGTAACATTCAAATAAATTATTTAACTTTCTTAAAATATGTAAAAAGAATTATCTTATTCTTTTTAACAGAATTATCTTATTCTTTTAAAATTGTTAAATGTTACATTAACGTATATTTATATGTATTTATAAATTAAATTAATATTTCGAAATATAAATTATATATATATATATAACTTAAATGGTCATAAAAATAAAAATTTACACATTTAGATTTATTTTTAAAATATTATTTTTTTCCTATAATTTAAATTTTAAAACTAATAAAATATTGATAAGATATAATTTATATATATACACAAATGCATTTTTTTCTTGGGTTTCATTTTTAATATTATTTTTTATTTTTCCAATCACGATGATTTTTCTATAATTTTATAACATTTTTAAATAAAAATAAAATAATAAAATTATATAAGAGAAAATCAAATTTTGATCTTCCTCGTAAATTTTTGAATTGATATAATTTAAGAAAATTAACAAGTTCATACAATATTTTGAAGAATTTTATGGAAAAATCCATCTGATTTACAATTTTATGTACAAATTGCAGGCGGCCTAAGAGAGGCCATGGATACTTTGCTAAATTGCTTGGCGTTCCTGTCTTATAGGTCCCAGACCCATCTCTTGCACATGGTCACTTATCAACACGGCTCAGAGTTCAAAATTATCACCTAAATCAGAAATGGAAAGAAAGAATGATGGAGGACATACACCCCCAAATTATTATTATATCTTAACCAATCAACAAACCCCAACACTATTTCACCAAGACAAAGACAACCCATTAATTACTGTCTTATTTCTCTCTATTTTGCAATATGTGGCTTATTTTGCTATTGATTATCGTTTTCAAAAATATATTAAAATTAATTTGAAAAAACCCACAAAATACTTTTATAAAGGTGTTTGGACAATCTTATGATATACCCTTAATTATTTCAATAAAATATTCACTTTTTATCAAGTGTATGTTGCTTTGCAAAATATGTGAAGTCGAGCTTATCTCGTTTCTAATTTTCCAATCCAATCAAATAGCAACCCCACCTAGAAGCTTAATTATAAATATATAAATTAACCAAATTAAAATAATTTTACATAAATCAAACAAAAATAGTATTTTCAATTTTCTACCAAATTATATTATTGGTTATTAAACTATTGTTGTTTTTCTATTTTGGCCACTTTTTTTTTTTTTTGCTAATTTAGTCATCAACGTTATTTTTTATTTTGATCATTTACTGTTAAGATGTAACATAAATCCATCCACTCTTTTTTAGTAATTAGTTTCAACATAGTTTAACCTAAATATTTTTTTTAACCATATAGCAAGTTTATAGCGTGACCCATTGATATTATCCTTTTTATAAATCTCATATTAAATTCCCCAAACCTAATCATATTTTTTTTAGTTTTTACCAATAAGATTATTACAAATGTCTTCATCTTATTGGATGATTTTTTAAATTAGAATCAAATTAATAGCGTATGAAAATTTTAGATATTAGAACTACTATATACAATATTGCATCCTCATCTTTATTAATCTTTTAACGGTTCTCATAATTAAAATAAGAAAAACATAACATTAGTGACTAAATTTGCTGATAAATAGTTTGATGATCAAAATAAAAATAATTTGGTGACCAATGATGACACATGCCTTCAACTTATTGGATGATTAAATTTATCTTTTAATTATAATCAATTGATAAAATATATAAAATTTAAAGATTAAAAATATTATTATATGATACTACATCATCATTACCGTTTGTAACAGTCGATAATCAAAATAAATAAAGACAAAACTAATATTAGTGACTAAATTGGCTGAAAAAAATAGTTCGGTGATTAAAATGAGAGAAATGTAATAGTTTGATGACCCAATGATGTTTTATACAAAATTATTTGATATACAACTAAAAAACAGAACGAATCCAATAAAGTAATGCCCATGATACTGAATCGAGTGATCCCAAGACTGTCCATAACCCAGCAATGCAATGACATCACACTTCACTCGACATACAGCTTTATTAATAACCTCGAAGAAACATCGGTCGAACCCAAAACCAAATTCCCAACTCTGCCATCGATCTATCTTCATCTTTGGCTGTTGCACCGTTCGGATGACGAAGAAAGCGGAGCTAGTGTTTATTCCGATGCCTGGAATGGGCCATTTGGTATCCACAGTTCAAGTGGCTAAGCTTTTAGTGGATCTTAATTCCAACCTCTCCGTTACCGTCCTCACCATCAAGTCACCCTACGACGCTAAAGTCTCTGCCTACGTTGACTCTCTCACGGCCACGACCAACAGCCGCATCAAATTCATCATCCTCCCTCAACCTGAACCAGATGCCGATATTTTAAAGTTTCTGAGTATTTTAGTTCAAACCCAGTTACCACTTGTGAAAGAGGCCGTCACCAACATAGTTGAGCTCTCCAACTCAGTTCCCGACTCACCTCGACTCGCCGGTTTCGTTCTCGACATGTTCTTGACTCGTTTTGTAGACTTGGCTAACGAGTTCGGCGTTCCTAGCTATGCATTTTTCACCTCGGGTGCTGCTTTTCTTGGCTTCCAGTTCTACACTCATGTTCTTTACGAGGAGCAAAACGTTGACTTCGTGGAGTTAAAAGACTCGGACACTGAGTTCGCCATTCCATCATATGTCAATCCAATTTCTACTAAATTTTTTCTTATTGAAATGTTCAATCCTACAAGTATTACTTTCCTCCATAACATGGCGAGAGGACTAAGAGAAATGAAGGGCATAATGGTCAATACATTTTCGGAGCTCGAATCACATGCGGTTGACTCCCTTTCTAATGGTAAGCTTCAAATTCCACCCGTTTGCCCAGTGGGACCGATATTGGATCTTGCAGGCTCAAGTGAGATCCATGATAATTATGATACAATCATGCAATGGCTTGACCAACAACCTCTTTCATCGGTCGTGTTCCTCTGTTTCGGGAGCCACGGAAGTTTTAATGTGGGTCAAGTTATAGAGATCGCCAACGCGCTAGAGCAGAGTGGACACCGCTTCTTGTGGTCTTTACGACGACCGGGGGAGCAAGTAAAAGGCAAGAAGCTAAGCCCGACTGATTACGAGAACGTGGCGGAGGTGTTGCCAGAAGGGTTCTTAGATCGGACAGCTGGGATTGGTATGGTAATCGGTTGGGCACCACAAGTGGCCATCTTGGGCCATCCGGCGATCGGAGGGTTTGTGTCGCATTGTGGGTGGAATTCGACATTGGAGAGTATATGGTTCGGAGTGCCGATGGCAGCATGGCCACTTTACGCAGAGCAACGTACGAATGCATTCTTGCTGGTGAAGGAGTTAGGATTGGCGATTGAGATTAAAATGGATTATAAGAACTATGGCGATGAGGTTGAAATTGTGAAGGCCGATAAGATAGAGAAAGGAATAAGGAGTTTGATGGAGCAGGACTGTGATATTCGAAAGAGGATGAAAGAGATGAGTGATAAGAGTAGGAAGGCCTTAATAGACGGTGGATCTTCAAACTCCACGTTATGTCATTTTATCGATGATGTTACGGACAACATATCATAAAAAATAATATTAAAAAGTTGTTATTTCTATTTTGTTTGTATTTCTTTTTTATTTAAAATATTTATATATCACCTAAAGTTATTGAACCACTTCAATGATAAAATAAATATCATTCTTTTTAAAAAAATTTAAATTAAAATAATTGTATCTATTATTTATATTTATTATCGATTAAAAAAATACTAAATAAATATTATATTAATAACATATTAATAAAAACAAATTCTTATCACTATGTCCTCTAAGGTACCCTTCCTAATCACTCCACTTATTATGAAACTTAATATTATAGGAAACCCTTCCTAGTCGGCTGAATAGCTGTTGTAGGATTCTTGAAAAAAAAATTGGCTGAATTAAGGTATCGTTGGAATTATTTCTCAAGATGATGTGAATGTTACAGTAATTGGAGAGTCACCGGAAACATAGTGCGTTTTCCGGGGAAGACATCGGGAACACAATGCATCTTTTTCACTTTTATGTCGTTGAACAAAGCCGAAGATGCACTGTGTTTCCGCCAACTTTCGACTGGTACTATACCATTTATATTAAACCATAAAATAATTTCGATAAGACTCTATTTCAGCTAATAGTTTTTTACACAATACCATAAGAGCAATTCAGTCCTTCCTAATCACTCCAATTATTATGAAACTTAATTGTCGATTGCCAACAATGTTTAAACATGATCACCTTACCAACGTTAGAGAGTTCAAAATTATGAGGACAAATTTATTAAATGTTTTTCTTTATAAACGCCAATGCAAATTACAAAATACTTTTATAAAGTCCTTGTCAAATATTACAATGAAGCCATAATGTTGCTTTCAAAAATCTAATTCGAGGCAAATTTCACTTTCAAGTATTTGTTTCTTTGTGATGCCAGCTTTTACTGTTTCTAAGCCACAAAAGTAAAATAAGGATAACGTTTTCCAATACCAGAAACTACTACCATCTCTATTAATTCAATTAATCAAATCAGAATTTATTAAGAATGAGGTGCTCAATTCCAAACATTTTACTTAATTTAACTATATATTATTAAAATTTATTTTTAGTGTTTGTTTAAATAAGCAATTTTAATTAAAATGATAATTTTTAGAAAAAAAAATCAGTTGACCGATAATCAATATTAACTATTGATGTAGTATTTTTATATATATCTAATTGTAGGTATAACATATATCACGACATTAATTGAATATCATATAAATATATATATATATTGATCATTATTTAATTAGTAATTTATATTAGTTTTTTTATGAATTTAGTTATTCAATCTAACTATTCAAAAAAATTCAATCCAAAATTAAGAAGAACGAAACAAATCAGAAAACAAGAACAAATATTATAGATAGGTAAAATCTATAATATAACTTATTAATATAAGATTATAAAAATGACATATATAAGTTATAACTGAAAATCTTACCAAAAATATAATTTTTTAGGTTAAACATATTTTACGGAAAGTAATAAATTTTATAATTTTGTAAATATTACATAACAACAATTTAAATTAAAAATCTGCTTAAATTACACTCACATATCATTAATGACTTATTCTGCTTCATTGGTCTCAGCCCAGCGATGCAATGATATCATACTATAACTAATCAAACAAAATTTAAATTTTAGGAAAGTGCCCACCATCAGTATAGTGTACATCCAGTGAGTAAGCTTCATTTATAACCTCGAAGAAACCATCGGCCGTTGATCTATCTTCATCGTTTGCTGTTGCAGTGTTCGACATACAACTTTCTTTTTCTGTTTCGAGATGAAGAAGAAAGCGGAGCTAGTGTTCATCCCAGTGCCTGCAATGGGCCATTTGGTATCCGCAATTCAATTGGCTAAGCTTTTAGTGAATCTCAATTTCAACCTCTCCATCAAAGTCCTCGCCATCAAGCCACCCCGCGACGCAAAAGTCTCCGCCTACATCAACTCTCTCACCGCCGATACAACCGCCGCCGCCACCATCAGTCGCATCAAATTCATCGTCCTCCAACAATCTGGCGCAGAAGTTGATGTTTTCAGGTTTACTGGTTCTTTAGTTCAAACCCACGGGCCGCTTGTGAAAGAGGCCGTCGCCAGCATAGTTGAGCACGCCAACTCCGTTCCAGACTCACCTCGACTCGCGGGGTTCGTTATCGACCTGTTTTTAACCCAGCTCGTAGACTTGGCTAACAAGTTCGGCGTTCCTAGCTACGCGTTTTTCACTGCGGGTGCTGGTTTTCTTGGCTTCCAATTCTACACTCAAGCTCTTCACGATGAGCAAAACGTTGATTTCGTCGAGTTAAAAGACTCGGACACTGAGTTTACCATTCCATCATATGTCAACCCCGTTTCCACTAAACTATTTCCGTCTGTTTACCATCTTCCTTAACATGGCAAAAAGGGTACGGCAGGTAAAGGGTATAATGGTAAATACGTTTTCTGAGTTCGAATCCCATGCTGTTAACTCTCTCTCTAATGACAAGCTTCAAATTCCACCCGTTTACCCAGTGGGACCCATATTGAATCTCGAAGACTTAAGCGGAGACGATCAAAATTATGAGACAATCATGCGTTGGCTTAACGAACAACCTCGTTCATCTGTAGTGTTTCTCTGCTTCGGAAGCATGGGAAGTTTCGGTGTGGATCAAGTGAAAGAGATCGCCAACGCACTGGAGAAGAGTGGGCATCGATTCTTGTGGTCTTTACGGCGACCAGCGGAGCAAGTAAAGGGCATGAATGAATACCCAACTGATTATGAGAACGTGGAGGAAGTGTTACCGGAAGGATTCCTAAATCGGACGATTGGGATTGGTAAGATCATCGGTTGGGCACCACAAGTGGCCATCATAAGTCACACTGCAATAGGAGGGTTTGTGTCGCTTTGTGGCTGGAATTCGACATTAGAGAGTATATGGTTTGGTGTGCCGTTGGCAACATGGCCGCTTTACGCGGAGCAACAACTGAATGCATTGACGTTGGTGAAAGAATTAGGATTAGCAGTAGAGATTAAGATAGATTATAAGAACGATGACGATAAGGTTAAAATTGTGAAGGCTAATTAGACAGAAAAATGAATTAGAAGGTTGATGAAGAAGGATAATAATATTCGGCAAAAAATGAAAGAGATGAGTGACAAGTGTAGAAAAACTTTAATGAAAGGTGGATCTTCACATTTCATGTTACATCATTGATGTGGTGAACAATATGAATATGCCATGAAAATAATTATTTTGTTTTTTTTCTTTTTAATTTAATAAGTTCATAATTAAGATTGGATTTAGCTGGTTTAATATAATTATGTTTTAAATTTAAATTTGATACAATTATTTTGTATACTTTTAAGAAAGAAATTTGTATAGTTTTATAAGGTATTTATATAACCACGATTTCTTTGTAGTTTTTTCCCTTGAACCACAATTTTAAAACATTTTTTCAAAAGCAACGCTAAAGCAATAGCCACAATCACTGGATTTGCGTTAAAAAAAAAAAGACAGGGCATCATGGATCAAAATCTAAATCCAAATTGCATTAAAGAACCAACAGCCAGTATTCGTTAATGAACTAAAAGGACGAAAGCCAATACCAAAAACAAAGTAAGGCAATGCTGAACCACCCAGTAAAGTAAACACATCGAAATGTGGCTTAAGTTCTACATTTCATTTTTAACATTTTGCATATAAAATGTAATATAAAACTTACGTGACCTATACGTGAGATGGAAAGAAGTACAAGCCCTTGCATCTTACCAACGTCCATAATAAGAACAGCGGAGATCCGGGGCCAAAATTTTAGCAGACAGAAACACGGATCCGAACAACAGGGAGATGAGTATTGTTGCCCGACACACAGCATGGATAAACGAAGTACAAAAGACAGCTTTCTGCTCCAAGCCTGGCTCCATTTGGCTATAACAGCAGCGTATCGTACAATCCACAGCTACTACATTGAACGTTATGGCACGCCCATAGTTAGTTAACTGGAACCGGCAACCATACAGAAGCAAAATTATTTCTTTCCTTCATCATTTTTCTCATCTTTCTCATCATAATATCCGTTTACGTCATCATTGTATTCATCATTTTCGTCATCATCATAATAATATTCTTCATAATCTTCATCACCCTTGCCATTTTGCAGCAGTTGCCCCCTTAACCGCTCTAGGATTCGATCTCTGATAGCAGTGCCCTGAAAAAACACCTAAAGTACCAAGTGAGGCAACATAACCACATTCCTGAAACTATTGTATGTTCTATAGGAGAATGCACAAGTCATTACAATATGTTAGGTAATTAAATTTGCTCAACATTTTGTGGCATCCTTCTTCAAACATCTCTGTCTTCTTTTAATGCATTTGTAGTAATTTCCATGACTTTTACTTCTTATACTTTTCTGTTATTGGTATTTATGAAAGATTAGAACTGGACTTGCTATCGTTGACTTCTGTATATCATTCTCGTCATTCTCGTCATGTTTCCTCTGTTAAATTTAGCCGGGTCTTATGTTTCTGTCTATATGCAGAGATTCTTTCGCAGGGATTATTTTGCAGGGATTACTCCCCATTACAGAAGCACATATGGTATTAATGACTGCATATGAATATTATTTAGCTATGTATTTATGTAATTATTTATACATGCATTGCATTTTATCTATATTTTTAATTTTCTGACTGTCGGAGGTCTTCCACGGAAGCTATTCTCAACCTGGCGTTGAGGGCAGCCTACTACCCTACCTCCCCCTTACCCTATACATATGGGAATTGGGTTTTGTTGTTGTTGTTGTTGTCTTCTTCAAACATCTCAAGAAATCCGGCAACCCATCTGTCAGCATTTTCCACCCACTCATTACGGTGCATAGCAACAATTTGTATCTGAAAGTATTAACATGCATTAAGTTTATGATACGGTGAGGAAACATGCATTAAAAATCCAGCCAAACGGTACGTGGCCACTTACAAGTGACAAAACCTAAAATATGAATATGGTGCACATGTATAAATGTATATACACAGTAAAAAACGTAAAATACGAAACCTGAACCTATGAATCTGACCGAATGGAGTTCCTGCTATTCTGAGACAAAATTCAATACAATTTGTTACTAGAACAGTTAATCTCGTCATATCCCCCAAGATTAATTATCCTTCGTGGGCATGAATCCAGGGGATGGAGGGGTTTGGAGTTTGAAGCCCAACTAAATATCCCCCAAAAGTCCACAGGCTTGAAAAGAAGGTAACCTTCTCCACCATAAAATCATGGTAAAATACAAGGATTTAAATTCAGACTAATCTGATCAAGCAATGGAAGTGAAGAAACTAGAACCGAACTAAGAACATAACCCTCTATATGCCATGCTGTGAAGTCACTTGATCTTGTATACTAATTTTATAGCTGTAGTCTCCAATCAGCCATTGCAAGCAGAGCAGAAATAAGTATTAATACTCATCCAATCAACTAATACATAGCTGAAATTCGCACACAAGATTACCCTACAATCGCTATGGCATGCTCCATTTACTAGCAGAACCTGCTGCTGGGCTGGTATTCACGTATAAAATTCAAAGTAAAGGGGAGTCAAAAAACTTTCCCTGAATTGTTCGTATTTTTTTCTTTTATCACAACTTTTACACGAAAATAAGAAAACTATCACAAATTTGAGAGTTCACATTGCTGCAACTGTGAATGAAATCAGAGACCGCTTTGAGCCAACTGAAGTATTCCACGTCCTCGTTATATTAAATGAACCAATCTTGAACTTAACCACCTTAATTGCATAACCTCTAATAACGGTTAATTTAGGTTTTTTTAATCAGAGGAATATTCATATTGGAGTTCCTGGATTATTTCTTACACTATCAAATTTAAATGATTTTTTTATGTGCAACACTAATTCCCCGTCATAGCCAGTTGATCATCAAACGGTTTCACCGCTGATGACTTGTCATGCACCGTAATCGGCAATAAATTTAATATGATATTCAGAAGATAAATTTATTCCAAGACTCAATCGTATAAAACAAACCAAAAAATTTACGATTATAGCCTGAATCGAGAACCAGAAACCGAAAAAATTAACGATTCAAGCTATAAACGAGAACCAGAAACGGAAGGGGAAAGGTGAAAATTTCTAGACACCTACAGCCGATTTTAAACCAAAACTTACGAATTTGATTGATTTGGGAAAACAACTCATAGTTGCAAATGAGTTATCCTGAATACGGGAAGCTAAGAAATCAAGAATTTGGGACGGCACATTTGCCACTACTGAATTGGCAGGCTCGAGAGCACGATATATCAGGCCCTGCCAAAGAGGGCAAACCTGCATTTCCCCATTTCCCTGATATTATGATCTCTCCATTGTTTTCTCCTCCAGAAAGCTTATTGACATGCAACAACAGTCGAGAAAAATGACCAAAAGCAGATTAAGCAAAATCCAAATAGGTCACATCCTGAAAACTAGAAACATGAACATAATTTCAAACATTTCAATTGCATGTTCTTTGCCTTGTACAGACCTTCCTTCTCTAAGCAGTCATTGTTAAACAATACTAGGGTTCTATTATGCTTTTGCACGGCAAAGCCCTCACAATCAGTTCACTGCTGTTAGAGGAAAATAATAATTCTATGTGCATCACTACTAAAGCAACTAAAAGTTACACTACCTAATCCGCTGATGCAGAATCTGAGTCCGGCTTCAATAAGCACAACTCCACTACCTTAAGCTTCCACCAAATTCAAACACAAGCACTACATGTTGAACACTTTGGTTGCTGTCAGTGGGAAAACCAGTTCTATGAGCAACCCATGTATGAAAAATGCAGCTAAAAGTTACAAAATTCGTAATCCAAACACTAGATGTTGCAGACTCTGGTTGCTGCTACTGAGAAAAAGAATTATATGAGCAAACCATATCTGAAGAAACCATATCTAGAAGCTTGAACTCTCGATCAATGCAGATCAACAAAAACATACACAGCCAAGAAAAAACACATCCAAGAAGATTCAAAATGCAATCGGAACAGGCAAAGGGTCTGAAAATGATGATTACGCACTTTTCGGGTTAGCTAAACAAAGCCATTTTGAATTCGAAATCAAAAAATAAATCAGTTGAAATGCTAAAATTATACAAAAGTTCGAACATTAAAAGATTCAATTCTCAGCCTTCATTGACATAAAGATCTACAGTTAAGCAAAACGATAAATCATACAAAAACCCAGAATAGTTCAAAAGGTTAAATTTCTTATAGAAACGAGCAAATCACGATCGATAATATAACAATAATAAGAACCCATAAATATCTTAACGAAACAAATTCAAATCAGTCCTTAAATTCAAAAATGTTCCAAAAGAAAACTACATAAACATTAGACATTTTGTTCCAATAAAATGCCTAGAACCTGAGCTTAGTAAAGAACCACCTGTTTTTTCCAGTCTTGAACCTCTCTTCAAACCTCTCCTTAGTCGCCTTGCAAGCTGCTACTTTTTTGTCCTTCGTCTGGAGAGCATCGACGGTAACCACGTCTTTCAAGTCCACATCGAGGGTGTAGCGCGTGGGCATCAAGTGCTGGTAATTGACGAGCTTGACGAAACACTTGACGCGTGACTTCTTGGCTGTTTTCTTCGCGAAGTCCTTGCGGATAACCTTGCTTGGGTACTTCTTTATCCCTGTAACCAAACAGTGGCCATAAGGGCGGTCACGTGTGCCTTCGTCGAATGATCTAATGATGACGGCTTTGCGACCGGCGTATCGTCCTTGGAGAACGATAACAGCCTTGTTTGGTTTCAGAAACTTCACCATAGTGAGGGAGGCGCGGCGGGTCTGATTCTCTTCTCCCAAAAGTTCTACGTAAAAATACTGAAAGTTAAAATGAGGTAATAAATTGTAAAACCCTAGCACTTTCGGGTTATTGGTGGGTTGGGCCAGAATCAAGGACTGATTAAATAAAGATTTAATATTTTAAATTTATTTAAATAACAGTCTAATACTTTTATGATTACTATAGGGTCAGTACAAGATAGTATATGTTCAAAGACTTTTAACCATTTGACATTGAACCCTCATACCCTCAATATACTAGGTACTCAAACTTGGAACCTCAAATAATAATAATAATTCTTTAATCATTGAGTCATTTTGATCTCTGCAAAAATATAATATTTTTAAACATACTCATATAATTATTTTTAACATTTTTTAATATACTCAATCCTTATTTAAAAATGTTTTTAAAAAATAATTCTTTATTCAATTATTTTGAGAGGTTAAATACTTATTTAAGCAAATAGAAAAATATTAAATACTTATTTAGTAATTTTAAAATATTAAACTTTGATTTAGTTAAACTTAAAAAAACATTTTTAATAATATATGGTGATTATATATTCAAAACTTTCTTAATCATTTGAAAACGTGTACTAGGGGTGTAAACGAGCCGAGTCGAGTATTGCCGAGCTCGACTCAAACTCGAAAACTTTAAATGTAAGCTCGACTCGAAAACTCGCGAGCCTAAAAATTTCAAGCTCGACTCGAACTCGAAAGATAATATTGGAACTCGACTCGAACTCTAAAAGGCTCGAACTTCAAAAAACATTCAATAGCTCGATCGAAGCTCGAAACTCGAGCTCGATTGAAGCTCAATTTTGAGCTCGATTCAAGCTCGACTTTGAGCTCGATTCAAGCTCATTTAAAGCTCAAAGACGGGTTAATTTTCAATTGTTGAAACCCATCCCCCTTTCATACACTCTCTTTACCCTTTATTCCCTAAGAACCACCGATGTGGGATATAAACTACTTTCAAATAGCTCAGCAACAGCAATAGCAATGGGGTTGTCCAAATTTACACCCCACCTTTAACTACGATCCCCATCTCCATCTCCATATCAAGGTTGCAGTAAAAAGGAGAAAGAGATAGTAATCTATTTTCAAAACCAAAAACTCCTAAGGCCTAACTCGGTTCATCACTCACTAACCCGAAGATCCAGAACAAAAAATGTTAGCTAAGTAAAAGGGTATAATAATAGTTTACAAAAGGATGGATTGAAGCTTTCATGAACTGATAACATCGTCTTCTTCATCTTCCATGATACTCTCCAATGAAGGCCTCCAACAACACTCCACTTTAACTGATCTAGTTTTTTTCCATTTCAGCCAAAAGTTCCCCTAATCGATACCCGCCATGTTGGGATTTTCGGAAGCTCGAATCGACAATCGGAACGGTTTGCAAAGAGGGGTCGGAACGGTTTTGTGTTTAGGGAGTAAGGAGATTGAAAGATAGAGAATTACACAGCGATTTATAGTGGTTCGACTTTCTCAACCAAAGTCTACGTCCACTACCTTAGCTCCTCACCAAGGATTTTCCAACAAATTCACTAATTTGTTCTTTCTTTTGAGGATAAAGAGTAACCTTACAAACTCCCTAGTTTTTCCAGGCTAAACTAGAACATTTCCCTAGCTTTTACACGGGATTAGCTAGAACCTTTCCCCTTTACAGAAGGATAAGAAATGTAAACAAGAAAACCTCTCTAAGGTAGGTGTTTACAAGAATTAAGCTCACAGGAACACAATATTTACAAGAGAAAGATGAAATAAGATTGAAAAACTCTTCTCTTGTGTTTGATTGCTTGGATAATTGTTCACTTGCTTCTTCAAGTGTCCTTAGCTTGTATTTATAGCTTGGAATGTGTTTGAAGTCGTATATAGTCGTTGGGGATGTTTTGGAGTCGTTTGGGGATGAGAAACAATTAATAAAATAGCTTGGAGCGTGGGGGAAATCGGTACCCCCTCATGGGGAATCGGTTCCCTAAGTGCAATCAGATTTTGATCATTAGACAGGGGAGAATCGATACCCCTGGGGGGAATCTGTACCCCCTGGACAATCTGATTTTTCTTGAAACCCTTTAAAAAAAATATTTTTGGCTCGATTAAGGCTCGAAATACTTTGTAAAATTGTTTTCAAATAGTTTAAGTATAAAACATAATTTTTCACTTTAGTAAAGATTAAAATGAACTTTGAAAGACTTGGAGTAATATTTTGATATTCGAATAATTATATCGAATATACTTAGAAAATCATTTGTAAAATCTTAAAATTTATTTGTTATATCAAAACATCAAAATGTTTTCAACAATCTCCCCCTTTTTGATATAACAAAACATTTGAGTAAATTTAAGATTTTGAATTCAAGTTTGAAATTACTCCCCCTTACTTTAACATTTCTCCCCTTTAAAACACCTTAACACTTCTCCCCTTTTTGTTAAATAAAAAAGACTCTAATTTTTTAAAGTACAAAATAACTTTGGAGAGTAAGTAGTAAATTTGACATTTTAAAAATCATTTGAAAAATCAAAGCTCCCCCTCAATAAATGCATTCCAAATAAAATTTAGCTTTAAGAACAAGACACTTAAACAAAATTGAATTTCAACAAAGAATAACAAACATGTTAGTAGCACATGAAATTCAATATATCCAAGACTAAAATACTTTATGCAATACCAATTGTTGAAATTTGATATCAATACCAATTGTTAAAATTAAGTGCATATGCATAAAGTTTTCCAAAAATGTTATGCATTTGAAAATTTTGATATCAATTGTTAGAGAGATATCATTTTCATTAAAACTACATGCATAAACATTCAAATTTAGGTCAAAAATTTTAAAATTTGTAAAATCAAAGTATTTGAAAAATTGATATCAATTGTTAGAGAGATATCAATTGCATTAAAACCAATTTTGACCAAAATTTTATTATGATAAACTAAAAATTCTTAAAAATTAATATAACTTTAAAATGTTCATCATAATCATCTTTTCAACATACATGAGATTAAAACAATGATGCATAGTCATTTAAAAACAAAACTCATGCATGGTTAAAATCAAATGAGCAACAAAATAACCAAAATTAAAAGCATTAAGCTTAGAGGTTACTCATTCCTTTTTCATGTGTGGCTAGAGCATCTTGAATATCATTACTCTCTTCACCATTGCTCCCACACACCTACAAGAGACATTTAAGTAGATTTTAGTATCCAAATTGCTTTGGATCCTTGGACGTTAGTTTCAATGCCCCTTGTTCCTTTCGAAACCCATACTTGCCTAATTTTAAAACGTTTTCCTTTCTTCAAAGAACAAGTATGTTCCAAATGACCATGATAATGACAATGTGAGCATATTGTCATTATTGAACTAAATGAGTTATTTAAAATGATTTCTTTTTCTTTTGTTAAGCATTCAAGCTTAACTTTTAAATCAAAATTTTGTTTTTCAAAACTATCAATTTTTATTTTTGAAAGCTCTAAATCCTTTTTCAAAATTTCATTTTGGCTTTCAAAATCTATTTTTGTTTTCAAAAGAAAATCGTTTTCAATTTTAAATTTTGAAATCATTTTCTTATATTTGGAGTTCATGGTCTCAAACTCCGAATATAACCTATTAAAAGCATCTTGTAACTCATCAAACGTATATGAATTAAATTCATTTGAGTTAGAAGATACCTCGGGCTCTTCATAAGCCATTAGAGACACCACCTTTGTTGGTTCTTCTTTCTTGTTTCCATGAATTTCCTCGAGCTTATTCCAAAGCTCCTTGGCACTTGAACATGAAGAAACCCCTTTATAGATTTCAGGACCAAATGCACAAAACAACATGTGCATGGCCTTGGCATTAAGTTGAGATTTCTTCCGTTCTTTGTCACTCCGCTTCTTCTCCTTCTTCTTTGGAGAAGAGTAGCCATTCTCGATTATCTCCCATACATCAAGATCATTGGATTGGATGAATACCTTCATTAATTTCTTCTAATGATGATAGTTGACTCCATTGAAGTATGGAGGTTTGTCGGTTGGTAGGGAGTCTTCCATGTGGAACGAGCCGGAGGTGGAAGTCATCTTCTCGGTTGTGTAGGGAATTAGTAGAGCTTCTTCTAAGATCGTCTCAAGGTGGTTAAACCTTCTTAATGAGTTAGGCTCTGTTGCCAATTGTTGGGATTTTCGAAAGCTCGAATCGACAACCGGAACGGGTTGCAAAGAGGGGTCGGAACGGTTTTGTGTTTAGGGAGTAAGGAGATTGAAAGATAGAGAATTGCACAACGATTTATAGTGGTTCGACTTTCTCAACCAAAGTCTACGTCCACTACCTTAGCTCCTCACCAAGTATTTTCCAACAAATTCACTAATTTGTTCTTTCTTTTGAGGATAAAGAGTAACATTACAAACTCCCTAGTTTTTCCGGGCTAAACTAGAACTTTTCCCAAGCTTTTACACGGGATTAGCTAGAACCTTTCCCCTTTACAAAAGGATAAGAAATATAAACAAGAAAACCTCTTTAAGGCAGGTGTTTACAAGAATTAAGCTCACGAGAACACAATATTTACAAGAGAAAGATGAAATAAGATTGAAAAACTCTTCTCTTGTGTTTGATTGCTTGGATAATTGTTCTTTTGCTTCTTCAAGTGTCCTTAGCTTGTATTTATAGCTTGGAATGTGTTTGAAGTCGTATATAGTCATTGGGGATATTTTGGAGCCATTTGGGGATGAGAAACAATTAATAAAACAACTTGGAGCGTGAGGGAAATCGGTAGCCCCTCATGGGGAATCGGTTCCCTAAGTGCAATCTATTTTTGACTGTTAGACAGGGGGAATCGGTACCCCCTGGGGGGGAATCTGTTCCCCTTGGGGGGAATCGGTACCCCCTAGGGAGGAATCTATACCCCCTGGACAATCTGATTTTTCTTGAAACCCTTTAAAAAGAAAATATTTTTGACTCAATTAAGGCTCGAAATACTTTGTACAATTGTTTTAAAATAGTTTAAGTATAAAACACAATTTTTACACTTTAGGAAGGATTAAAATG